CCACTGACTCGCGTAGAGACCCACAGACTCGCTTAGAGATCCACAGACTCACACAGAGACCCACAGACTCACATAGAGACCCACAGACTTGCGTAGAGACCCACAGACTCACATAGAGACCCACAGACTCACACAGAGACCCACAGACTTACGTAGAGACCCACAGACTTGCGTAGAGACCCGTAAACTCGCCTAGAGACCTGCAGACCCACACAGTGATCTATTGGAAGGACACATCATCACAAAAGCGATGATTTACCACTCCGCGACTTCTGACACAAACATCTGGCTCGGTCACCTCGATCAAACATTACAATCGTTGCTGTACATCTACGTGAGCCACAAGAAAAAGAAGAAGTATTTGTCATATATAGTCATCATCATCATCATCCTCAACATCATCAAAGTGTCTTTGGCATTTTGGTAACCCAGGTTACTCTGGCAAAGGAGACTCGTCCTGGTAACAACTTTCAATGTCACCCGGTTAAAATACACTTTTATCCTGAACTTGCAAATTCACCGCACAGCACGGTAAAAACAGAGCCACTGGAAAGTAATTTTACTTCAGTGACATTTGGGCTGAAAAAGTTCGGGAGGGATTACCAACAATAATAACGTTTTCCCCCTTAGTAGATATTTATAGAGTCATCTTTTGTCAATATTTGTGGAATACAGTTATCTAAATTTGGCCGTGCAGGACTTCCCTTAACCTGTGTTCACAGTTATTCGACGCCCCCACGTGCTTGTATTGCCCATTGTACCATACGTACAAGAGCCCGCATCTCGCTCCTTCACGAGAAACGGCACGTCCTCAAGTGGCGAGTCTATCAAAGGCCATCGGCGGGCCGGTGCATTAACTCATTTTTCGTGAACCTGCAAAAATCACCGGTTTGCTACAAGCCTTTCGTGTACGGCAATGCCTCGTCATTCACGAGCTTGCAAATCCGCGATTTTTGGCTATCCGCGAATCGCATCTGGAACTCTGCACGACTGGAAAGAGAGAGAGAGAGAGAACGTGATGAGAGATAAAGTGATGAGGGATGAAATGATGAGAGATACAATGATAAGATAGAGTGATGAGAGATGTAGTGATAAAATAAAGTGACGTGAGATAAAGTGATGCGAGAAAGTGATGAGATAATTTTCCTGTATTTAACAGCTTATTTACGTATTTATTTAAGATAATTCATTCTAAAAAGTAGTTAGGTTTCCGTAGGCCAACATCATTATCTGCGAGCAACTCCGGAAATGGTACCCCTCGCGAATAACGAGGGAATGCTGTACACGGCACGCTTTTCATTTACCACGCAACATCTCCTCCCGAAAAAGTCTCCTCACCACCCCCAAACCATTTTTTGTCCCCAACCAAAACGTGAAACCGTTAAGAGATCGAATCTTGGACAACAATGGCGAAAGCCGAGGAGCCGGGGGGGGGGGGGGGGCACAATAATACAACGACGCGGCGGAAAATAAAGGGAGTCTTTATTTCAGCGTCGGAGCGAGTCTTCCGGGGTGAGTCTACCGGGTTTAATTACGGCTGCGAAGAAGTCGGTGGCCATGCTGTTCCCGGCGGTAATGAGTGGGGGGGGGGGCTTAATTCAAGCTGTCGGGGACGCTAATTTTCACGTCACGTTTTTTTTTTCCCTCTTGGCAGTTTGCCGTGAATCACATTCCTATTCACGTTTTAACTCATTATCGGGGCGTTATATTATTTATTATTATTACTGCCACCGCCGCCGCCGACACCACCACCACCACCACTGCTGTTGCAATCGTCTTATATTTACAGCAGATGTGCCAGGTGTGAGGCAAAGGAACACGGTGGCGCGGCTCACTTTATCCGATCGCTCGCTCGCTCGCTCGCTCCCACACGTAGCTCTCGATTTCGAGAGCCGGGCCGATCTCTTTTGCGCGCTGCCCAGGCGGCTTGGAAGCATTAGGATAGACCCACGCTCCAAAAGGGCCGTCATGGCAAACGTGGCCCCCGCCGGATCGGTGATCAACGACCGCGGTTGCTGCACCCAGTTGGTTGCGGCCACCGGGGGCGGACAGAGGCAGCGGCGGGTGGATTGAGAATCCCAACGGCCTCTTTTTTCATTCTTTCTCACCGCCGCGCCGGGAACATCGAAATCGAACCGGCGACCTCCGGATCGCGAGCTTCTGGGGCGAGAACCGGTTACTTCCCCACGGTTTGTGGCCGGGACGCGTGCTTCAAATCCCGCGTTATACTTCCCCAGTATAGTTATAAGGTAGTCATTGCTTTTTTATAGGCCTTACTTAAAACGGTCAAAGGGGCCTCCAACCAAATTTTGCTTAGGGCCCCTAAAGGTCTAGGGCCGGCTCTGCCCACCCCCCACCCCCCCCCGACCGCTCTCGGGCAGCCAATTCCTACCCCGAGGTAAAGCGTGCTAATCTTTGTGACTGCTGAGACGAAGGCTCATTACAACCCACTTGGACGTCACCGCCATCTATATTTAGTTTCCCCCCCCCCCCCCACCACTGCCCCCCTCTCTCAGGTCGTATTGAATGGTCAAACAGCTGTTCCGGCAATGCAAAGACTCGCACGTGCTTGGACTGTTACCTTCCGCGCGCGTCGAATATTTCGCCTGATTTACTGGGAGGTGCAGCCGTCGATGAAATGTTATCTTCCACGTCTGCCCGTGCGCGTGCGTGCGCGCGTGCACCCCAGCGTCGGGCAGCGGTAGCGTCAAGCTTAGCGGCAAGTGTGCACTACGCACCCGGCGACCCATGGCCAAAATCAGCGGCGATGATCTGAACCGGTGCTGTAACGTACCCTCGGTCAACTCGGACACAAATGAGTACTTGCTGTGTGTAAGCACAACCGTTGCGCTATCCCCCACACCCCACATGTGTCCTGCGGCCTGTTTGCCTTCAAAGGAACCGCTCGCCGATGGCACTTGCCCCAACAGTCTGTCAGGGCTATAGGGTGAATCTATAGCTTTTGCGTGTCGGGAAGCTTTGGTGTATAATTTAAGACGAGTCAGACATCGCTTAGCGCTCGGAGAGCGCGGTGCTGAACTAGACACGCTCCTGCTTGATTGATTCTCGGAGGGATTTTAAAAGGGCGAAGGCAAAAGGCGCCCTCGCACGCGCGCAGTCGCGTTCACATCCACTCGCTCGCGCGCCACGGGCTAAACTCGGGCGCCGCTTCGAGCGACGCGTGATTTGGTGGCTGCCGTTTGGCAATTACAACGCACGAACATCTTACACTCGCATTGCGGCAGACTCTTCGTATTCACTAAACGCGGAGGCGGCGGGGAAGGAGGGAGGGGTAAGGCTTGTCTCCCCTGAATAATCCAAATGTCGTTTTTTATTTCAATGGCTTTCTTCATATCCGAAAGAAGAGCGTTCCAGACGGCAACAGGAGCGCATCTGAAAAGCCCCGTTGTGATGCGGTCACAGTCTTTGTTTGACGGCCAACCAAAATTCATAATCAGAATATTTACTCATACCGGAGTTTTGCACGATGGTTTATTGCTCCTTGACGAGAACGGCAAGGTGTTGTGCTCCATTCGTGGCGAACGCTTTACGTGTAATGAGCGCGACCTCATAATGTATTCGTATTTTGGGCGAAACCAATGATGTTAAAGTGACACATTACGTCGTTACCCAGACATCTAATGACACCTGCCTATCCGCATTAGGGCCGTCATCACCCGCATCGCAGCTGCGAACACCCAAGTCCTGCCCTCCGCCAGTAGCTTCGGCGTGTGAGGTCGGCCGTCTCATCCGACACTTTCTCAGGTGTGGCTGCGTAACGAGCGAGGAGTGCGTGCGGCAAGCGACGCGGGGTGCACGCAGGCGAGGTGCAAATAGCCGCGCGCTCGGAACGTAAATCGGCGTCGCAGAGGATGAAGTTTCACGGCGCAGAGGATGAAGTGGAGCGCGCTGCCTTGTGTTCGTCAAGGGCGAACGGGCACCACGAGATACACGATGGAAACGGGGGAACCCACGTGCGGTCAGTCGCGTTCGCCCACCCGTCCTGGCGTTACGTTTTGTTTGAGCTCAACACGATCGTTACCCTCTTTTTTATTGTGGGAGCTGTCTTGGGAAAGCTATTAGTTTAACCAGGATATTAAAATGTCCTGATTTTTGTCAATTGCGTAAGAACAATAATGCTACGGACTACTGCACCATCCACGGCGATGCAGTTTTTATTTTTATTTTACCAGGTAAGGCCCACTGAGCTATGCAGTTCTTTTTCAGAAGCGACCTGGCCACGATTGAAAAAAAATGTTTCAGAGCTGCTTTTTTTTGCGTTGAGTTTGTTGTCCTTCCCCTGCACCTTCGATGATCACAGTTGGCTCCGTACGGTGTGAAAGAAGCTCAACGTACATGCGTGCCATTGATATGTCCCTGTATATTGCACTTCGGAAGTGGCAACCCCCAGCTGCCAGGAGATTGTTATCGGCCTCCGTAGCTATGGGCGGGACTTTGCAATGCAGCTCAAAGACGCATCTAGGGATCCTGTCGACCTTGTCGTCTGCAGCTCCCGCTCCCCCCCCCCCCCCCCCCACTGGTTTCACCAGCCTCTATTTATACGCGACCACGGCCAATCGGGAGCGCCTTAGGGGCCCTTGACCCCGGAAGGAATGGTCAACAGGACGAGTAACTGTTTTGCAGATGGACGTAAATGTATTGTTTTTTGTCTACATAAAATAAAAAAGGTGATACGTTGATGTTGTCTTCAGAAATTCTGGAGCTGAAATAGCAAATATCTCGCGAATAATTTCTCGTGATTAATCATTATTCACGCAAAATTATTCAGCGAGCTATTCCCTTTCCCGAAGAAGCTCCCGAGCACGTGGAGCGAAACGTCGGACGTCGTGCGAGCGACGCGCGGTACCGACCCCCGAAAACGCATCGGAGAGCCAGACGGTAGGGGGGGGGCAGGGTGGCATGTGAGAGAGCTGCAGGAGAGGAGCGAGAGAAGAGAGAGGGAGAGAGCGAGCTGGAGGCTCAGGGAGTGTGTCTCTTACCGACTGTGCTCACTGTGTCCCTCACCGTCAGCTTCCACTTGTTGGGCCGTAGCCGGAATGCGACAGCCGGACCCACCACACTGCGGGCATAAATCACCGTCACCAAGATGATCGTTACCATCACCATTATAGCAGCATCATCATCTTCTTGGTTCTTTCGGTAAAGTCACATAGATAGGGAAATAATAAAATAATAAAAATAAAACATAATAAAATAATTCTCACGACGTTTCGGCCACAAGTGAGAATTATATTATTATGTTTTATTCTTATTATTTTATTATTTCCCTTCTACGTGACTTTACCGAAAGAACCAAGAAGATGAATCCCTGCAGTCACGAAAGCTTTACATGGAAATCATCATCATCGTTTGTTCATCATCATCATCAGCAGCAGAATCAGCTTGGGTTGACGCCTTTTGCACATACCCAATCCCAGACATAATCTCGCAGTCAGCCTGGGCCTATGGATATTAAAACTGATTATTTGGGGACGCTGCGTTGGCAGTGGCGCACAAGGCCTATCAACATTGTGCTGTGTTCTCCTGTGGCAGCAACATTCAGCACAATGCCACCAGCGGATCTCCGTGCGAGTCAATCTCTGCCACCCGAACACGGCAGATGCCAATTTTCAGACTGCCCGGGTCAAACCCAGACAGGTGGCAAAGCAATCACAAGCAGCATCAGTAGCAGCAGCATTTTTAAATCCTTTATATTAAGTTCACTTGCTTGCTTGCTTGCGTGCTTACGACCGTGCAAATCTTTCGGTCGTTTTTTAACCCACTTCGCGTGGTCTAATCGAGCTGACATTTTGCACACATACTCGTTGTGCGTGACAATTTATTTTCGTGAATTTTTTTCCCCAAAATGTTACACTTTTTAGGATTTTTAAAAAAATATTTAATTACCAATTGCTTAATGGTGGCAGGCAATCATCTGACCCATAGGTGGCAGCCATCTCAAGCCAGAGGACGAGAGGACTCTAGCCGCCACGCATATAAAGGATTTATAGTGAAAAACTTTGTTTTTACGGGTTAATTTTTTTATATTTTTTATATACCCAATTTCGAGACAAAAAGTGGCTCTTCTTGTTATTTTCGTTGAGAATAGACACGCAGAGGGCACGCCACCCCCCCCCCCCCCCCCCCCCCCAGTTTTTGTGTTCTTTGCCCGCATTTTTTGTTTCTTATGTTCGCGGTTTGAGGGTTCAATATAAATCCCCCTCCGCCCGCCCGCGTCCACCCAGAGGCGTGAATTGGGGTCACCACCGTTCGTCGATCGGCAAGGTCACGTGCCTGCCCTGCTAAAGCGTGGGCGCTTCCAAGCCTTTTGGCCAAGACGGCTGTCCAGGCGTGGAACACAGGAGGCCAAAGAGCACCCCTCTCTGCGAGGGTGCTCTCCGAAGCTCCCCCAGACACTTACGCCGCCGGCAATTTGCAGGGCTGCGCCTTTAACATTTTGCCGTTTAAATGTGGAGTCGTTTGACAACCCTCCCCACTCGCCACCGCCTCCCCTCGTTATGTCTGCACGGACGAGCGCCATCAAGATGCCCCTCGGTTCCGTTTCACGCCCGATAGCCGCTGGAGCTCTCTAACGGGCCAGCCGTCAAGCTACGTCCAATCCTTCCCCCCTCGCTCGATCTGCCGTACTGCCGCCCGCCGGCCCCTCGTCCTGGTCCGGGTTATTTATTTATTTGCTCAATTTTTGGTTTAATCACCGCCCTGCCGCCAAGGTTCAACGCAACTCCTCACGATGACCGCCGCCGCTCATAAGCAAACGCGTGCTCGCTCGCCAAACTCGCTGCCCGCGCTCACACTGACTCACGCTCTCTCGCTCGATCTCTCTCCCCCGCTCTCTCGCGCGAGGAAAAGGGCTCACATTTACATGACAATGTGGGTGGGGGGGTGCAGGGGGCCCCCTCTGCCTGCCTCTCTCTCTCTCTCTCCGCCCGCCCGCCCGCCCCCACCCCATCCTCCCTCCGCGCTCTTTTCTCGCTGAGCTAAAGCCAAAAATCTGCATCACAAAACTGCTCCGTGCGGCAACTGGGGCGACGGCGCGGCAATCAGTGGGGGCCGCCCCCTCCGAGCGCCCCACCAGACAACCAATTAGCATCTTGCGAGCATCCTGATCTTCTTCCCTTTGCTCTTACTCCCAGCAAGAAGCAAGCCCCCCCCCCCCACTATCCTTGCTACCAGCAGCCCTTCTCCTGCTCCTCCCCCGCCCTCTATCACCTCCTAACCCTACTCTCCTACTCCTCCTCCTCCCAACCTCCCTTTCATTCTCCGACTCGCGACCACCCCCCCCCCCCCCCCCCCCCCCGTGTTCTATTCCTCACTGCCCACGATTCTTGCGGACGCAGGGGCCGGCCTGGCCGTCTTCCCCACCCTCCGTGCCGTGCACCATGGTCCGTGGGCCGTGCGCCGGGCCGGACCACGGCCTGGGACCGGTAGACAGATTGGCACCCTGGCAGGGGGCTGTCCGGTCAAGGAGGATGGGGGTTGCTTCATCCCTGTCGTGGGGCGCATTGAGTGCTTGATTAATTGCCTAATTGCGGCTTTTGCGTGTAGGACGCAAGCGCATGTATAGACGGTGGAGGGGGGGGCGCATGTTTAGGGGCCGGCGAAGCACGAGGAAGGCGTGGCGTGGCCTCCGTCTCTCCCAGCCACCTTTGTCTCTCCATTGAGAAATAGTGGCGGGCTACTCGGCGCTCGCCATGGTAGGCGTTCAGCAGAGAAGGTGGCGACTTTATCGAAAGAGCCATAGACTATGAATTCCGGCAGTCACGAAAGTTTTAAGTCAAAATTTTAGGTGGTGGTGGTGGTGGTGGCGGTTAGTAGAAAGTACAAAAAAAGGTGTAACGTTCGCGACTCTGCGTACAATTCCCGTGGCGCAAATGCCTCCACTGCAAGGAGGCCGAGAGGGCCCTTCTCGTAAGCTAACTTTGGCCTACTCTTCCACGCTGGCCAGACGTCTTTGAACAGGTGGGATTACCCACAATTTACCCCACCAGACACATCCCACAATGAGTATACAATCGTTTGCCCCCCCCCCCTCCACCACCACCACCACCACCGCTTCCCCTCCCCCCACCTCTTCGCCATTCGCACGATTTCGAAGCATGACGCCGCGAGCGCGGAGAATTCGATTTGATCGACGCGTCGCGGACTGCGCCACGGCTCATCCCCTCACCTGACGTCCGTGAAGGAGTCGGCGGGGAGATTCACTGCCCCGGCCAGGGCCTCCAGCAGTCGCACAGCCGACGATAAACTCAGCGGCCTGCGGCAACAGAAAGCAAAGACGAAACAAATCCTCACGTAGCCCCTCGAACGGTACGTTGGCGTGCGGTACCATCGGCGAGGCGCGGTGCACGACGATGCCTGTTCACACCGCGCCGGATACTTATTTGAGGCTGAGCCAACCTAGGGGAGGCCCGAGCGCGGTTCGGATAGACACACCGCCGATGCCAGCCCTGGATTTCGCGGCGTGGCGCGCTGACCGCCGTGCCACCGCTCCCCCACCGCAGATCAACTCGCGGTGGCTGTTTTCAGCGCAGGAGATGGGTTTGTGCAGTCGGGAGGTCATTCGGCCGCCGGAAAGTTTCCCCAGCAAAAGTGACCCGCGGCTCGCGGTCCGAATTGGAGCTTGCGGCCGCTGCCCCCGACGGCCGTGGCGCCGGGGTGCACTTCACTACTTCACCACTTCACCACTTCACCACGCCGCATTTCACACCCGATGGGTGCGGGAGGCACGAACGCGTCGGTCACGCCGCCTGCGCGCGGTCACGCGGCCAGGGCGGACACGTGACGGTCGCATACGCGACTCTGTAAAGTGGCTCGGTCTCGGCTTCTGACGCTCTCATTGCAGGACATTTTAATTGGCACGAGACTCACATCTGTACGAGGTGAAGGGGGGGGCGATTAAGAATCCCCCCCCCCCACTCCACTTAAAAAACAAACCCATACTCACGGTGGCATTCCCACAAAGCTACCCAGCAAGCCTGATGAATGCCGTCGGTTAATATCGCCTCGCAAAGCCAATCGGGCTTTGCGGGGCCGACGGTTTAAACGTTTAATTCACATACAGGTCAGGGCACGGAACAGAGCTCCGCTCATGTTTGCTTTCATCCCAAGCCAGTCCTCTTGGGCTACGCGGTGTCGCACCTCGGTGTGCGAGGGTTCAACAGAGAGACCCCTTCCCCCCTTTCCCCAGACGTGGGCCAGAGTCGCGGTTATGATGGGGGGTGGGGGGGATCGGTGGTTGGGAGAGCTTCTGGCACTAAAGAACGGCGGCACTGAGATCTTGAAGCGCTGATATCCGCAGCGATATGAAGCTCGGGGGGGGGGGGGGGGGAGTGGTGGTGGTGGGGTCAGGGCAGGAGCGTGGTCTTTGCGGATCCTAATCCGGGTCTTTGCCGGAACACGGCCGGGGGCCGGGTTATCCTGGCGGAGAGCGGGGGTCACGGTCAACCAAGGCACCGGCGTTTGCCGGGCATCTCTTTAAACGGCGCTCTACACTCGCCAGCCTTAGTCATGGCTGCCAGAGAGCAGCCACCAACACCCCCCCCCCGCCCCCCCCCACTGTGGAAGGGGTGACATTTACACAGAGATGACCTTCACTGTGCCACTGACAGACAATAGCTTTGGCCCCCGTAAAATGTCAACACCTAACCATCCTAAGTTTTCCTTCAGCAATTGCGGTCGCGTGGCGCGCGCTCGCGTCTGTTTTTGTGATTACGCGTTGGCCAGTCGTGAAGCGGCGGTGGCGGCGTGAACGCTTGCTTGGTTACCGTGCGGGCCCCCCACTCCTTCCACCACCCCCCCCCCCTCCTCCCCCCAACGATTTTGTGCGGCAAATTTTTAGTTAACGTGCCGTTTGCCGTTGGGAGTGATGTTGTGTCAGAGATACGGGCGAATGGGCCACCCGGGTCAATTTCTCTTCGCTACAAACTTCCCCGGGACCGATTCGCGCAGGTGGAGACCAGGCTGTGACGTCGCGCGGACAGAGAGAGATTGGCGGTGCGGTTATTCAGCACCGCATATCCATACCCCCCCCCCTCCACTGCTGGGTGATAGTAGCTCTGCTACACGCGGCTGCTTGTAATCCAGCGAGCGTTGGTGGACCGCCGCACACTGATGTTGTGAAACTCGCTTCCCGTGGGCGTCCAGGACATGCAATACCCTGGCACGCCAACAGAAGGCGGTGCGGCAAGTGGACTAATCACCACCTGTTTTGATCTGTATGTGGGGGGGGGGGGGGGGAGGGGATCGAGCATTGCCCCCTCGCACGCGTGGGTTTTCTCCGGGTGCTCCGGTTTCCTGCCACTTGCATAATAAACACAACTCCATCATTCATCGGTTGAAAGCACCTTGATGTAAAAAACCCCAGTGGAGCGACGTAACCCTCCTGAAGATGTGTCACGCGACTCGATGTGGCTCTCCTGCATAAAACAAGTCACGTATTTATTGTGATGCTCAGTTTGTGGTTCGCAAGACAGGACACGGGGGGCGTGTGCGGCCGACACACGGCGGCGGTGGCGAACCTCTCTCGTGACAGCGATACCCAATCCCCGAGTAGAAAAATGACAATAATGGGGTTTTTTTTGTGGTAATTTTCATGACATTTTTTGTTTTGAACTCCCAACGCAAGGGCAAATATCGGCGTTTTAAAATTCAGAGAAGCCGCTCGGCTTGTTTGCCGTGACGGCACGCTTTCACGCACGCGCGCGCGTGCGCGTTGGTTTAATATTCCAGGCGTCCTCGTCCCAGCGGAGACGCTGGGTTTACAAATTTGCATTCCGCTCCGCGGCGGTTTACAAATTGCGGCGCGGCGCGCGTCAAGCCGCTAATAGGAAGGAAATTAATCCGGCCTCAAGAAGGAATGAAAAGGGAGGGCAGCATTATCACCTCGCAACATCTCCAGAGCAACAACGCAGCCATCACTGGCAGACAGCCGTCTCGCTGGGAGGGGCAATGGGGGGGGGGGGTGGTTTGTGGTCTTCGGTCGTTCGCGTCAATAAATAAATAAATGCGCCAACAATTTTCGTTGGTTGCTTTTAAAAAAAAAAATTGGTTCGTGTTCTTCTCTTCCTGTAGGAGCGCATCATTTGAGGGGGGTGGAAAAAAATGTTCACTCTTTTAAGAAATGATTTTAATTGTCGCTGTGTTCCTGTTCCAAGACGGCGCTTCTGCCGTGCGCTGACAAGCGACGCGAATCATTCGCAGATGCAGAACGGCTTTCTCCGTACGGATGAGAGTGTGTATACCGCACGTCGTGTTTCCTGATGGACTTGCGTCGACGTGAATATTTTATTTGTTTTTTTTTTGTCCCCGACGGGAAAAAACCTGGGTCACGGAATTCAAAGTCTAAAAGAAAGCAAATCGTATGGAAAGCCAGAAATCTACCTCCGGGTTCGTTCCTCTGTTTCTAAAGCTGTCGGGCGAAGCAACGTTACTAATAGGCCTGTTTCATTTAAGCTACTTCCACCGCGACACATTGACAACTATAGCTCGCCCCCACCCACCCACCCACCGCCTTTCCGGTTATTTGCAATTCTAGGGAGATTCACTTTGCTAAGTGCCATCGAAATAGGAATTGCTCACAGTCGAGCAGAGACGGCGTCTCCGAGCATCGGGAACACGGAAGGGCTTTCGATTTAAAGCTTTTGTGACTGCAGGGATTCATCTTCTTGGTTCTTTCGGTAAAGTCACGTAGAAGGGAAGTAATAAAATAATAAAAATAAAACAAAATAAAATAATAAAACCAGGTCTGTCGAGGCGACAGCGTCTGAATGGACGCTGTCGCCTCGACAGACCTGGTTTTCACCTGAGGACGGCTGCTTGCGTTGTGGCCGAAACGTCGTGAGAATTATTTTATTTTATTTTTATTATTTTATTGCTTCCCTTCTACGTGACTTTACCGAAAGAACCAAGAAGAACACGGAAGGGCGTGAAAGATTAGCGCGGAGCGACCGTGAGGCCCGGGCCTCTGACCGACTCGCGCCGTGGTTCACCCTTAACCCTCTGCAGCTGCCCTTTGACCCGTTGGCAGGTGCCTTTTTCAGCCGACCAATGCCAGCTGCTGGCCCTGAGAAAAATACAAATAAAACCGACGGTCAGTTGCGTCAGCTGCCAACCGGTTCGCGCTCGCTGGGAAAATGACACAAAAGTCAAGGGTGAGTTTCTCGGTCCCTCTCTTCTCTCTCTCTCTCTCCACCTCGGGCTGCATACTTTGACCTTATTAAACAATGACGCTTAAATTGGGTTTTCCGTACGGGGTGACGTTCTCCGGCGTAATGCGATGCACAAGGGCTATCGTTTGACGGCCACGAAATAAAAACAAACGCTGGTCCCCGCTCGCTCGGGAGCAACCGCACCTCTGCCGATTGCGCAGAGTGGGAAAAACGCGGAGGAGTAACTACAACCCACGATCTTCCGCAACAAGTAATGCGGTGCGTTAACATTTACACGTTATTAACTTCGTCAAATATTTGCGAATTAAAAGGTGATTCCGATTTTAATTAAATTTCCAAGAGAAGACGTCGTGCATTACTGATGTCATTTTGTGCACAATGCCTATCCACATGCAAACAGAGGTGTGGGTCTGGCACGATATGGGGCCTGGAATTCGGTGCTTTAGAGCGAGGGTTTGCGCCATGGTGGCGAGATGTTAGCTGCCTCGTCTGGCATACCAGGAAATCGTGGGTTCGATCCCGACCCTGACGCCTGCTGCTGTATATCTGGAGTGTGCTTGTCTCTCTCTCATCATCATCACGGTGGCTAGGAGATGTTAACTACCTCGCCTGGTATGCAGGAAGTCGTGGGTTCGATCCCGACCCTGACGCCTGCTGCTGTATATTTGGAGTTTGCGTGTCTCTCTCCCCGTGGTCGCGTGGATTTTTCTCCGGGTCCTCTGGCTTTTCACCACCCATTTAGAATCAACGTCACTCGTTTTGCGTATTTGGCTGCTATTACTTTTCACGCGATAAGCCACTTGGTTGAGCTATCATTTGTGGTCAGGGCGCTTCTGACAAAGAGCTACATAGCTAAGTGGTCCTTACCTGGTGAAATAAAAAATAGTTTCGTTTAATAGTTTAGTTGAGTTTAGATTGCTCAAAGAGGATGATGATGATCATAAGCACCTGCACAGCACCTCGTGCTGGTAAACACCAAATGATTTTTATGTTCAGTTTGTTGTCTTTACCCCTGACCTCCGACAGGCCATAGTTGGCTACGTACGGTGCGAAAGAAGTTCAACGCACGTACATACACCATCATGGCAATAACTCGTACCTGTTTTCCACTGGCACATCCGAGCCACGCCGGCTTGGGGCTCCCGCTTGCGCGCCTGCTTGCTTACGACCGTGCAAATCTTTCGGTCGTTTTTTAACCCACTTCCCGTGAACCAATCGAGCTGACATTTTCCACGCAGACTCGTTGTGCGTGACAATTAATGTTCGTGAAAATTTTCCCCAAAATTTTACACTATTTAGGGAAAAAACTAATTAAATATTTAATTACCAATTGCTTAATGCTGGCAGAGAATCATCTGACCCATAGGTGGCAGCCATCTCAAGCCAGAGGACGAGAGGACTCTAGCCGCCACGCATATAAAGGATTTATAGTGAAAAACTTTGTTTTTACGGGTTAATTTTTATGTTATGTACCTTTCACCCCCCCCCTCCCGCGCCTACGCACACCGATTGGATTTGCGTGCAGATGTATAAGATTTTAGCCAAATGACCTGGAATGAACCCGGAATTTCGATCCTGTCAGATCTTGGAAGCGAAGCAGGCTTGAGTCTAGGAAGTGCTTGGATGGGTGACCACCACGAACATAAACACAGGTTCTAGACGGACTGTGGGCAGCGCAGGAAAGTCCCTTGTTCATCTGCGCTCCCTGCGTACCTTGAACAATCCGCATTGACCAGCGTGGTGAAGTATGGTCAAAATGCCCCTCGCGGCCAGCAAGCTGTAGGGGAGGTCCTCATCCAGCAGTGGATTGCAAAAAAAAACTAGCTCTGCGTGAACACGTGTGTACGATGTCACTGATGCATTAAATCGATGCTAAAAACGTACACCTAATGATGTTAATGTACTTTACAAAAGCCACGAGTTTATTTGATTTATTTCTATGTGGTGTTTCGGAGAGTGGCTCATGGCCACGATCAGAAATGAGGCTCGTTTCGTTCATCTGTCCTTATACAGCGATAGTGCGGGCGCGTGCGTGTGTGTACGCGTGTGTATGTGTACGTGTGTGTGTGCGCGTGTGTGTGTGTGTGCGCGCGTGTGTGCGTGTGTGTGCGTGTGTGCGCGTGTGTGCGCGCGCGCGTATGTGTGTGTGTGTGCGTGCGTGTGTGTGCGCGTGTGTGTGTACGCGCGTGTGTGTGCGCATGTGTTTGCTCGTGCAAATGGGGCTCAATAGTGTCGTGCTTAGTGCGCTGCTCTGTGAAACCAGCCACCCGAGTTCGACTCCCACTCACGGCCAACATCAGTGACAATTATCTGAACCTGTCCTCTAGGTCGACTCCGCCTCAAAGGAGTGCGCTGGCGTGGTATGTAAACGTTGGCACAAGGGGAGACAAAGGCGACCGGACGTGGTGCTGGTCCCACCCCCCACCCCCTCGTGTGCCCTGCCAGCCTTAATAGGTGCTCGTCAACGGCGCTTTGCCGCAAAAGTTCCATCAAGGCTACCTCTGCCTTGCGCGGGTGCGCGCGTGAGTTGGCGCGCGTGCAAATCGTCACCTGTTATCCGTCACGATGTAGCCAAACTCCGCACTCTGGCGGTCCGGCGAAGCCTTCCTGCGCCGCTCGACCTCGACAGCGTCGAACGACACTCCGCGGTCGCCCTCCTCTGGACGGACGGCGGCAGCGTGAGTCGCTGGGGACGCACCGAGAGGCCACGCGGCTCCTGCTGCAGGCAAGGCCCGGCCCTGCGATGCAATTCAGAATTGGTGGGCTTCGTTCGCAAACTTTTGCGTGAGCGTCACCGTCCCACCACCTGCTCTTCCTCCCCCTCCCCTCCGACACCCCCCCCCCCCCCCCGATACCCTCCCAACATTTTTGGTTTTCGATTTCGTTGCGTCTGTTAAAGCGGTTACGAATTTCAAGGGTGTATGTTTGTTTCCCTCCCCCCACCCAGACCACCCCACCACCACCCCGTTTCTCATTTTATTTTTATTTAACCAATTTACTTAGCTCACCAGAGGGGTCAGCAATGCCCCTGGCAATTCTCTGTCGCGCGTCGCGCTGCGCACGATTTCCAATCCCTCCTCCGCAGCACGAGCGTTGACAGCTTCTTGATTGACGGCCGCGTCTTGCTTCCCATCCACGCTTCCTGCAACACGCACGTACGCGCCGAGACGAGTGTAAATTCGCGGCGCTAATAATAATTCCTTACTCACCCGATAGCCAAAAAAAAGAAGCCTCGTCGCGTCTCCAGGGCGGCTTGGCGGTGTTTGTGCAATTTGCTCTTTTTTTTTTAAACGTCACGTTTTGTTTTGTACCTCTCGTTCAATACGCCGCCCGTACGCGGGTGTGTAAGATATCAGGTTCTACTTGAGTGGTGTGAAGGCACTTCGTAACAAGATGATAACAAGTGTGCATTTGGGATAGGGTTTTTGGATGCAAATCTTTTCGGGGTTTCAGATATTTTCAGAGTGATTTCGCATCTTCTTTGGATTAAATGTTTTTCACCATTTGCACCGAATCACAATTGAACGCGTCCTCACGTGAACACAAATGATGTCGCCTGATCCCTTTGGCGAGAAATTCTCCAAAGTTGGAATTTTATTTCAGTAACATCATTATCCTGCGATGTCAAACTTTCCAAACCAATCCTCAATATAAAATATTCTACAGATTTTCCGAAATGTATCTCGGCTTCATTTTCAGATTTTACCAAAAAGTCAGGATAACCTCCCCAATATATACATCATTATAAAATGTGACATTTCCAATTCTGTCTCGACGGCAAAGATTCCCCATATAACCTTCACGTACTTTTGGGTAAAGTGCGTGGTCAGCACCACGCCCGCCTGCCTTTGTCTCCCCATTGGCAACAATTACACACCGCACTAGATACTCATTTGAGGCTGAGTCAACCTAGGGGAGGCCCAGACTTCCGTTCAGATGATCGTCACTGGTATCGGCCGTGAGTGGGAATCGAACTTAGGTCGCCGCGTATGTACTAACTGCTACGCGACCGCTCCCCACTACGCACGCGCACGTGCACAAAAAGTCTCCAAAGCGAAAGCAGGTGTAAATTCACAGCGCCAAATAATTCATTTCTTATCAAGAAAAAAAAAGCCTCCAATGAGGCTCCAAAGCAGCTTGCGACGCCGGTGCAAATTTCCCGACTTGTCGTCTTCCGCGTGGGCTACGAACGCCGGAGCGTGCCCGCAGAGTGCCCACGAGTACGACGAGAGCAACGCCCACCAACTCCGCACGCCAAAAGCGGCGGCGTCGAAACAACAAAAAACTTCGCTTCCCACGCGCGCCACCGCCGCCACGGACGCGTGCCGTTTGTTTGGGATCCCGAATCGGTCGCGTCGCTGCGTGATCCACTGCCCCAACCCCAAGCCAATTGATCGTGTGGCGTGAAATATGTAAAAAAGGAAAAATAACAAATGTCTCCACCGCAACGTGGCACACTTTGGAAAGTGGGTCTCGGGTTTCCCACGTGGTGTGGCGAGCGCGGTGAAGGAACGGTGGCCCCGGGGGGGGGAGGGGGAGGATGCGGCACGAGTGGGGATGGGTACAGCGTGTGCCGCTGCAATTATTACTTTCAACAAGTTGTTTTGCCACCCGCAAGTGTTGGGAATTGCAACGCCCCTTCAAATCTTGGCTCGCCGTTGCCACCGCCGCTCAGACGATAAGTTATTATCCGCCGCAGAAAAGTTTGTCCTGTCCTGGGAGTAACTCCTCAGCGTGTGACATTGGCGGTGTGTGATTTAAGATTTAATGCATGTAAAAAAAAATGTTGGAATTCAAGATACTTTGTTTTTAAACGGTAATGCTGGAGCATATTTGCCTTTGTAACATGGTGACTGGACACTTTAATTCCTGACTGCATACCCCCCCCCCCCCGCCTAGATGATCCAGAATGTATGTTGAACTTCTTTCGCACCGTACGTAAGCCAACAGTGTTAATCGGAGGTACGGGGCAGTTTGTCAATCTAGATGACTTAAGAGTGCACACAGCTCCAGTGGCTCGCCAAATATCGGAAGGAAGAGCGTTCCAGACGGCCGCAGAGGCGCATTTTTATAAAAACGCATCCAAGAAATGACGTCACTAAGCAGTCCCTTAAGGAGCCGCATGCGGCTTCGGTGCCGCAGCTTGATGACCCCTCGGCCTATGCAGTATCTTTGTGACAGAGGTGACTTGAGCGCGCTTTAATCGGACACACGGTGTTGCCCACTTGAAAATCTCGCCCTCCAGTACTCGATGAGCGCGGCCAAGATGCTTGCAAATGACAGATAAATACTGATCGCCAGCTGTTCCCAAACGGCACGGCCTCGCGTGGCCTCAGGCCTTACTAACCGAAGTCTCGGGTCAGACACAACTCGCCAATTAAAGTCGCTTCCCAAACGCCGCTGTAGCAGAAAGAAATCTCCTGGACATCCGCTCATCGGAATCCCTCCTCCGGTCTAAATGAAGATTCGAATTCGGAAGCCGCACCTTCCCGGTCGCCCGCCACTGACGCTCTTGCCGCCACCTCCTGCCACTCCGAGGCCCCGTCGCTCCCTCGCACCGCCGCCGCCGCCGCTGCCGCGCCGTTAGGGCGAGGAGGGCGGCCGTGCGGCCAGAGCAGAGGCCGCCGAGGGGCGTCACGTGCCAGCGCCCGGGTGCGGCCCGCGAGAAGGCCCCATCGGCCGAGCTGAGAGACTCCGGATGGGGCCTTCTCGTGGTGGCCCTGGGGGAGGAGGGGCGGGGGGGAGAGAAATAAAAGCAAAGCGCACAGCGGGGGTTGAACGCGTCGGGAGAGAAATTTGGTCGAGGTTTCGTGGGAGAGCAATGCTTGCCGAAGAGTCGTGGCGAGCACACGGAATCGGAATGTTAATTTGACACTGGAGGAATCCGATGAGCTGTGAAGATTTTTTTCACGGATGTCCAGGTTGGGGCGGGTCAGAATGTTAGAACAAACAGTACAAAAACACGACAGGAAATGTAAAGTATAGGAAAGGTAAACAAATCACTTGTAAATATACAAATTAAACAATTTTTTTTTTCATCTTACCAGGTGTAAACTTATTTGTCAGTTAAGCGACTTGGCCACAAATGAGAGCTCAACAAAGTGGCTTATCACGTGGACATTCACAGGCCCTTGGTTCGATTCGATCTCCTGCCGCGGCAGGCGAAACGACGGGGAAAGTCCCCTTGGCAGGTTGCGGCATACATGGGTGCATCAGATCGGCCATAGGCCAATCGCGGAGTGATGGGGTAACGTGTGCGGGTACTGCCACCTATTCCAAGACGTCTGGCCACCGTGGAAGAGTAGGCCAAAATAGCCTCTTGGAGGGACCCATTCACCACCAGTGGCACGAACAGATAACTTCAGGGCTGTACTTTAGTTAATGTACAACTGTTTGCTAATCCACAATAATGTTTTAATCAATCCTGACAGTTTCTGTAAAGCCTCTGGGTGACAGAAACAAAACACAAAATAATTTATAATTATTTAAAATTAGCTAGATTTTTTTTCTCTTGTCCTGCATAAGTTCACCCAAACGGAAAAATGTGTTACCCTCGGCAAAAAACAATCACTCTAACGTCAACATTTATTAAATTGTCGTAATTTAAGTCACGGTGACGGCGCCTTTTTTGGGATGTGTGGTGGTGACGCGATGCAGGCAACCCGTTTTTATTTTTGTTTGAACGTCCACAAATTTTGCATATTGGCCCCCATCTTAGTATTTTTCGCATCAAGCCGAATATCAGGCAACACAGATCCCTGACCCGCGGTTATTTAATGGGGGGGGGGGGGGGGCGGCTCGCCGGCTCTCGAACCGCAAAGACATCCGCATCGAGCGACGCACGCGACACCCACTCGGCCGCGTGAGCGCCACGTGACCCCGCGGGCGAAAAGCCGGGAAGGAAGGGGGGGAGGATGAACGCCTCTGGTTGATATTCGCGAAGAGCGAGCAGCCTCTGCTGGACGAGTCGTTATTTCAGGAAGTTGTCCCCCACGAGCCTCTGCTGCCCCACGAGTCTCTGCCCCTAAGGGCCTCTGCCCGCACCAAGAGGCCCTGCTAAGTTAAATGCCGACTGGACTAAAGAACAATGTAAATTTTTACTTTAAATTTTCGTGACTGCAGGAACTTACATTCTTGGTTCTTTCGGTAAAGTCACGTCGATAGAAAATAAAAATAAAATACAATTTAAATATTTTTGTTAAAATTAAAATTCAAAATAAAAGTAAAAAAAAACCACGACGTTTCGAACGCAACACAATCGGTCTTTACCGAAAGAACCAAGAATACAGAACAGTATTTGTAACACTTTCCCACTGAAGTCGAGAGCGCTATCGTGCTCTCCCTGTCCTCGATCGGTTGGTCCGTCCGTCCGTCGGGCTCACTATGGGGGGGGGGGGGGCTGCGTTCGGGGGGGGGGGCTGCGTTACCCGGACTGAGGAGCGCTCCTTCACGGCGCTGGGCGGCTCCGCTTGAGGCTGGCGCCTCTCCGCCAGCAGCAGCAGCAGAAGCTGTTGCAGCAGCTCGGCTCTGAGCACCGAGTGGGGGGCCGGGGAGCCGCCATCCACCCCGGCTCGCGACGCACCACCTGCATCGCACACGGCGGGGGGGGGGGGGGCGCGCAGATCACCTGAGTTTGATTTCTAGCCACGGCTAACATCAGCGGTGGTTAGCGGGCAGTGATAGGAACCTGCCACCTGAGTTTGATCCCCAGTCAACGCTAACATCAGCGGTGGTTAGCGATCTGCGATAGGAACCTGCCACCTGAGTTTGATTCCCAGCCAAGGCTAACATCAGTGGTGGTTAGCGGGCAGTGATAGGAACCTGCCACCTGAGTTTGATCCCCAGTCACGGCTAACATCAGTGGTGGTTCGCGGTCAGTGATAGGGACCTGCCACCTGAGTTTGATCCCCAGCCAGGGCTAACATCAGAGGTGGATAGCGGGCAGTGATAGGAACCTGCCACCTGAGTTTGATCCCTAGCCAGGGATAACATCAGTGGTGGTTAGCGGGCTGCGATAGAAACCTGCCACCTGAGGTTGATCCCCAGCCAGGGCTAACATCAGATGGGGTTAGCGCGCAGTGATAGGAACCTGCCACCTGAGTTTGATCCCCAGCCAGGGCTAACATCAGTGGTGGTTAGCGGGCAGTGATATGAACCTGCCACCTGAGTTTGATCCCCAGCCAGGGCTAACATTAGAGGGGGTTCGCTAGCAGTGATAGGAACCTGCCTTCCTGGGTTTGATCCCCAGCCAGGGCTAACATCAGAGGGGGTTCGCGGGCTGCGACAGGAACCCGCCATTTCTCACGGAATATTTTCTGGGTCGCCGACAGACTGGAGTCGGTAAGTGACTCCTGGTGACCGTGGCCACAGCGATAGATATACAGGGCGTGGTGTGCCGTGCGTGACAACGTGGGTGACAAACCACTGTGGTCTGTTTAACACACAGTAGGCTTACGCGACCAATATGATCCATAATTGGGGGGGGTTAGATCGCGTAAATATATAAATGTGTCGTTAAACCCGCCACCACCCGACACAGCCAATTAGTCAGGTTTGTGTCACGTCAACATAACATCGACTGCGGTGCTTCCCATTACACAGACATGGGGAGTGTTGTGTGTGTCGGGGGGTGGTAAGAAACGGGCCCCATTCTTTCAACTGCTGTGCCAGGAGGCCGAACCCTGCGAACCTCCGGATTGCCAAGTCCAGCTGTGTCCCCCCGTTGCACCGCAGTAGCTGCGATGCTGACGATGCCCCAGAGCTGTTTGCTCGACATATCTGGCATGGGCAATGTCGCATGGAGGTGCCGATTTTCTCCCCCCCGCCGCTTTTGAAAAGGATGATAACCACCGGGCTCATCCCTCCCGGCACCGCTTCGCTACCTACCGCCTGTGGGTTGCGCGTGAGTTTTTTGAGTTTGCGTTGCAGAAAATGCCAGCGGGCAAATCACGAGCGAATGGGTGGGTGGGGCGAGCGGGCGGGCGAGTGAATGGGTGATGGGGAGAGAGCGGGTGGGTGAACCGGAGAGTGGGTGGATGAATGGGCGAGTGGGTGCGTGAACGAGCGAATGAGGTGGGTGAATGGGCCAGCGGTAGGGTGAGCGAGCGGGCGAGCGAGCGGGTGAATGAACAAGTAGGTGGGTGGGCGAGTTATCCTGTGGGTGGGTGGTTGAGGTATCCTGTGGGTGGGTGGGTGAGTGAGTGGGTCGGGTGGACGGCCGGACAGACTGGTGGGTGCTTGGGGGAATGGATGAACGGGTGGGCGAGAGGGTGGGTGATCGGGTGGGTGAGCGGGTGGGCGAGCGAGCGAGAGGGTGGGTGAGCGTGTGGGATGAGCGCAGCGTGACATGCTGCGTAATTGGGGGGGCGAGGAGAGCGTTACGTCTCCCACGTAACCCCCTTAACCTCTTTGTCGGCGGCTTGCCTTCAATTCTGAACATCGCACCCGTTGGTCGGACGCGCGCTATAACCGGGCGAAATGAATCCCGCGGCAAAATGAATGGTAAATTATGTAAATTGTTCAGGCCCACGGATTCATTCCGTCCTGTTACAGCGGGGGCGGGGGTGCGGAGGGGGGGTAGTAGTTGTGGGGTCGAGGGGGGTCACATCTGCATTGCATGCACTCGCTCACCGGCGCAGATCATTTGGACGCTGCGGGTAAATTAAAGAGCGCCATATGTGCGCTATTGCTAGAGCGGCCCATCTGTGTTGCGAGCACGCGCGTGCGTGTTGCGCGCGCGTGCGCGTGTCGTTGACTGTTTGTGGGGAGCGGTGGCACAGCGGTTGGCGCGCTGCGCTCCTAACCCGGCGATCCGAGTTCAATTTCCGCTCACGGCCAAAAAACTAGTGGCGATTATTTGACCTGGTCCAGGGGCCTCCCATAGGTCGACTCAGCCTCAAATGAGTACCTGGTGCGGTGCGTAAACATCGCCACTTGTGTACCGTGCCGGCCTTCATAGGTGCGACAGCACTTTCCCCTAGAGTGCGTTGAGGCTATACGGGGGATCTTTGTTTTTGCTCGGTCGTTTTCGGTGTTATTGTGGGCGAGAGTTTAGTGGCAACGAAAACGTCGAAGGCTCGGAGACGATCGCTCCGACAAGGGGTTAAGTGCCGTCAGCTGAACTGAGTCTCAGTGAGAATCTCGTTAACACTAAATAACTGCATTCCATCAATTGCATTGACGCGATTGTTGGACGATCGATAACAATGATAAAAAAAACCACAGTCGCACGATCGCGTTGCATTTCATCTCTACGGAAAGTTGAGTGCTTGATTTGAAAACCATTTTTTTTAATGCTGCATCGCATTTCCCGTTTCGCTTCGAGGCACCGGTAACGGCATTGAGTTTATGAACGCAGAGAGATCATTTTGAAGGAGTCTCTCTTTTGAGGGCGTTCCTCCATGCGCACACACGCCGTACACACACACCGCACACACACACACACCATACACACACGCCTCACTACACCCACCACACACGTACCACACACTGACACACGCCGCACCACACACACCACACACGTACCACGCACACCTCACCACCCCCACCACACACACACACACACTGCACTAACACACACCGCACCACACACACACACACTGCACTCACACACACACACACACACCACACACACCACACACACACCACACACACACCACACACACACCACACACACACTGCACTCACACAAATCAAAGACGCACAGATTAAGAGCAGAATGCATTTGCTCTACGCGTCAGTCCCATTTCACAGTTCCAATGGTGCACGAGTATTTATGGAAATTAGTGCTCGTTCAATAATGTAATCGTTCATAAAATGTTTCGTAAAATGTCTCTATGGGTGAGGTGGGGTGGTGCGCGTGGTTTAAACTTCGAAAGTGGTTTCAGGAGACTGCCCGAAGCCATTTCTACGCGAGTCGATGTTCTGATTGAGGAGGATTAAGCCGAGGTTTGTTTAGCTCACGCTTGCCCAGCCCAGTGATTTGTGTTGTTGTTTTTAAAAGCTTTCCAAATAAAAGGTTCGAAAGCGTTTATGGAGTTATCTCCCATCCGTCCGTCCGTCGGTCCATTTATTTTCCTTTGGCTCTGTCTGTCCATCCGTAACAGTGGGTAAAGGGGGAACTCCAACTCGTGTGCAGGTGATCCTGAACTAAAAAATACGTATCTCTTTTTTTTATTTGAACAGGTAAAAAAAAAAACTGTGTTTCAGAAGCCACGTGGCCATCACAGATGATAGCTCAACGAAAATGTGTCTAGCAGCCAAATACTCCAAAACGCGTGAACGTTGATTCTAAATGTGGAGGGGAAAACCAGAGGACCCGGAAAAGAAATCCACGCGACCACGGGGAGAGTGAGAGACACGCAAACTCCAAATATACAGCAGCAGGCGACGGGGTCGGGATCGAATCCCCGACCTCCTGTATACCAGGCGAGAAAGATAACATCTCACCACCGTGGCGCCCCTTAAATAGATTTTTTTTTATTGAAGTATGTAAGTTCAAATTGCATTAATTTGCTACTGTGGACCAGAGAGGCCGCTTGACGGGACCTCAAAAGTAGCCCCGTGACATCCACTTCCGCGGGACGTTTCTCTGCACAGGGGCCGCTGGGCAGTAGGATCTCCGGGATGGGCGCTTTCGTCTCGTGACGTGTCGCCGATTGCAACAGTCGAGAGGGGAGGGGGAAAAAAAAAACTAAAAACAAAAAAACACGAATTGTGGTTGGAGGGAAATATTTTGAACGGCAACCAACAACACAAATAAATCAACAAAGTTGCGACTCTGGCCACATGCTGGCACGGTAACCGGATCGTGTGTAGCCTAAACAAGACGCATGGCTACTTAGTGAGTGATCGGGTAAGCTCCCCTCCCTCCCTCCTTCATGCACTCTTGGCTGTGTTTTCATAATCACGGTGCCGCGTAATTGAATAAAGTTGAATAACCTTCGTTTCCCGAGCATATGACATGTCTACGGGAGACGAGCACTTGCAGAACATCTGTCCCGGGTTTTCTCATTATGGAATTAATGACTGCAATTAGGGTAATTTTGTAACCTAGTTTAAAATCACTTTAAATAGTCCGTGACCTAGTTGAATAACAGTGGGGGGTGGGGGGGGCAGGCAGAAGTTGGTCACGTCGGCAATGACAGGAGCAGGTATAGATAATAAAATATATCGTTTTGTTTATTTGATATTTTCTTAAGCAGAAAGTATTTTCTTGTTTAGTGTGCGTGTGCGTGCGCGCTGTATCGGGGAGCGGTGGTGCGGCGGTTAGCGCGCTGCGAACCCGGCGAACCGAGTTCGATTCCCACTCACGGCCACCACTAGTGACGACTATCTGAACTCCCCTAGGTCGACTCAGCCTCAAATGAGTACCTGGTGCGGTGTGTAAACATCGCTACTCTGGAGACAAACGCAGCCGTGCGTGACGCTGGCCACCCACCCCCTCGTGTGCCGTGCCCGCATTCAGAGATGCTCGCTAACAGCACTTGCCCCAACATTCTGTTACAGCCTATACGGGCGATCTTTGTCTTTGCTGTAGTGGGGAGAGGTAGCGTAGTGGTTAGCGCGCTGCGCAACGAACCTGGCCCCCCGAGTTCGACTCCCGCTCGCGGTCAATATCAGTCCTGGGCCTCCCCTAGGTCGACTCAGCCTCAAATGAGTACCTGGTGCGATGTGTAGTAAACATTGGCATGGGCGGGACAATTGTGGCCGGGATGTGGTGCTGGCCACCCACCCCCTCGTGTGCCGTCTCGGCTCTAGGGGGTGTCTCGCTAACATCACTTGTCCCAACAGTCAGTTAAAGTTTAATGTGGTGGCAGTAGTAATACTACGAGGGAGATGGGACGATTTTCGTTTGTCCTGACCATTCGCCTGAATAAATGAATAAAATGCGTACATCCTTATTCACGTGTCCTGCCACTGTAGCTGTACAAAGTAGTTCGTGATTCCGCTGCTGCTGCAGCATTGGCAGTGTAGTGCACAAGCAAAAACAACAACAACAAAACACATCACGGCTTAAAGCTTTCGTGACTGCAGGAATTCATATTGTTTGGGTCTTTCGGTAAAGTCACGTAGATAGGTTCGTCGTCAGGAACGCTTGTGTTGCGATCGAAACGTCGTAGTGTTTTATTATTTTCTTTGAACCTACCTACGTGACTTTACCGAAAGACCCAAAACAATATAAAAACACATCACGTTCGTTAATAACACTGCTGCCTCAACAGGAAAAACAATAGTAGGTGACGTTTCAGGCAATGGTCCTTCATAGCACTTTTTTATATGACCAGGTAAGGCCCACTAAGCTGTACAGCTCTTTTGAAATCCTTTATATTAAGTTCGCTTTCTTGCTTAGGACCGTGCAAATCTTTCGGTCGTTTTTTAACCCACTTCCCGTGACCCAATCGAGCTGACATTTTCCACACCGACACGTTGTGCGTGACAATTAATATTCGTGAAAATTTTTTTCCAAAATTTTACACTTTTTAGGACAAAAAAATTATATTTAATTACCAATTGCTTAATGGTGCCATGCAATCATCTGACCCATAGGTGGCAGCCATCTCAAGCCAGAGGACGAGAGGACTCTAGCCGCCACGCATATAAAGGATTTATAGTGAAAAACTTTGTTTTTACGGGTTATACTTATTAAGAATCGACCTGGCTATCAAAAATAACAGCTCGACGAAAGTGGATCATCACGTAGAAACGTAGGGCAGCCAAATACTCTAAAACTCGATTGTTGATTCTAAATGTGGAGGGGTAAACCGGAGGACCCGAAGAACAACCCACGCAACCGCGGGGAGGGTGAATATCCAGACTCCATGAATCAAAGGTTGGGATCAAACCCCCAACTTCCCGCATACCAGGCGTGTGAGATGACATCTCACCACCGTGGCACCCAGAACGTCGCCTTTATCTTACATATTTAATCCTCCTTTCAGGGCGACAGTGTTCTTGACGACAAAGAGTTACGAATGACTGCACGCAATAAAAAATAACAAATCCCATTAAATTTGGTCACGTGCTCAGCATGGATACATTCCAGCTCGTGACAGTAAAATTGCCCGTGGTGGCACTGCAGCCGGTAAAGAAAAGTGCTGCTCCCTACTGTTCGTATCCAACGACGGCTGTCACCTGGAGTCATCTCGGCTGTAGCTCTGCAGTACCCGCGTGCCGAATGCGCGACGCCGACGGCGCGAATCGGGATGATCAAAACAAAACCAAACGTAACGAGGGTAAGCGAGCGTCTCACCGTGAGCGACCATCTCCATCGCGTCGACGCCTCCTCTCGGTCGCGGCGGCTGCTGCGGCGACGGCATCGGAGCGACGTCGCGAGGTCTCGCGCCCGGCGTGCCGCTCACCTCCCGCGGTCCGTCTGCACGCAACGCAGGGCAGGGAACGGCGGAGCGCTTCGGTCAGTCGGGGCAGTTTGGGGGCGCCTACGGTGGCTCGGAGATGTTAACGACCTCGCGCCCGGTTTGTAGGAGGTCGTGGGTTTGATGCCGACCCTGATGACGCCTGTATTGTTGCAAATGAGAATTTTCAACAAATTCTCACTTGGATTGTTGCAAATTCTCATTTGCAAAATGGCACGAGGAATGTGCCTCTGGGCTCTGGAGACCACCTGGAGAAGATTCCAGGCAACGTGTTGACAATGATGGCGAACAAGTGAAGACTCATCTTCTTGGTTCTTTCGGTGAAGTCACGTAGAAGGGAAATAAAAAAATAAAATAAAAATCTAAATAAAATAAAATACAATACAATTCTCACGACGTTTCGGCCACAACGCAAGCAGCCGTCCTCAGGTGAAGAACAGGGCTGTCGGAAAGACAGCGTCCAACCCTGTTCTCAGGTGAAGAACAGGGCTGTCGGAAAGACAGCGTCCAACCCTGTTCTTCACCGGAGGACGGCTGCTTGCGTTGTGGCCGAAACGTCGTGAGAATTGTATTTTATTATGTTTTATTTTTATTTTATTTTTATTTTATTATTTCCTTCTACGTGACTTTACCGAAAGAACCAAGAAGATGAATCCCTGCAGTCTCGAAAGCTTTAAATCGAAATTTAAGTGGAGATTCTGACTTTTTAAGCTATTAACATTCATTTGTTATCATGTTACAGTGTATTAGCATCCGTTCTGTTCCATATAAAACGAGAGTCCCATGTAAGTAAGTGTTAACATGTTTTTGAAGTACCCTGTATATTTGTAGTTTTGCATGTTCTCTCTCTCTCCGTGGTCGCGTGAAATTTTCTCCGGGTCCTCCGGATTTTTCCCCTCCACATTTAGAATGAACCTCACGCGTTCAAAATATTTGGCTGCTGTGCATTTTTCGCGTGACAAGCCACTTCGTTGAGCTATCCTTTGTGATAGCCGTGTCGCTCCTGAAAATGAGCTCCTTCGCTCGGTGGGCCTTACCTGGTAAAATAAATATAAAAATAGTTTCGTTACACATTCCTGCGGAGGGAGCTGGTAGGAACGTTGGGTTGCTCGGTCAATGGCCAGGGTCAACGGCGGCGTGGTGTATTCCGCAAATATGCCCGACTGTGAGGGCGGGCACAAGCCGGCGTGAGTAGGTTAAACGTTACATTTTATAAGGTCACCACGGAGTGACCAGCCCCTCCCCACCCCACCCAGCCTCACCCCTCCCACCCCCCACCCAGCCCCACCCTCCCCATCCAGCCCCTCCTCACCCTCCCCTCCCCACCCAGCACGACGGACACAATAATCCCCTGTGGGCTGGTGTAACCAGGAGGTTCCTACCAGTAATAGTTACGTTTATTCACGTGCGATCGTTCGTATGAATGTAAATGTCGTGGCGCAATGGTCTACGCACGGCAGGACGCACCCGGTCGCAACGCCATGCAAGAGGAGACAACGACATCCGTTTAAAACGGTGGCAGCCTACAGCAGTGCACGAGGCCCGTGAAGGAACCTCAGCCAAAGGAGAAACACACGCCCAAGGGAATGACAGCCATGGAGCAAGAACGCGAAGATCAGTGCAGGAGGCAAGGTGGATTGTGGCATCGCACGACTGCTAAGGATGGCGGTCGTATGGATAGGCCTTCATCCAGCAGTGGATACATTATGAATGATGATGATGAGAAGATAAAGGCCATTAATTATTTCGTGCCAATGCTGCCTGTCTAGTTAGTTACCCATTTCCTGGACATCAGTAGCGAAATGAATTAAATCGATCGGTCAATGAAGAGTTTCATTTTAAATGGAGCCCACAAATCAATTGGGCGTAATGTCAGCGTGCTGATATTAAGCGACACGGTAATGTGGCGTCTCTCGATTGAATCGTGTTGGTTAAACCCCGGCTTCGCGGTCAGTCCCACTCAGTGTCATGAAATTCTGAAATTGGCAATTAAAGTAACAACAACAGGTCCCGACACAAATGGGTGCAGCGGTTGGAGCAATGGTTAGCACACTGCGCTATGATACCCGGTGATCTGAAATTAATTCCCGGGCCAGAGCTACCATCAGTGGTCTTGGTGCCCTCAAACCTCTGCCACCAATCAAAACTGAGCAGTAGTTGACTCAAGTGGCGGAAAAGTTTTACCACCATCACCACCACGGGACGTCTCAGCTCATCGATAGCGAGATATTAATTATCCTTGATTGGTATGAAGGAGGTCGTGGGTTCGATACCGACCCTGACGCCTGTATATTTGGAGTTTTCGTGTTCTCCCCGTGGTTTGTCCCTACACACTTAGAAACATGTATTTCAGAGTATTTGGCTTCTGTAATTTTCCACGTGACAAGCCACTTCGTTGAGCTGTCATTTGTGATCGCCAGATCGCTCCTGAAAAAGAGCCGTATAGCGACGAGTCATCTTTGCGAATGTTCGAGTGTATGAGAGAATTAACTAGCTCCACTAAGGTTTGTTGCCTATGAAGTTTCGTTTTATATATGTATATACAGCGTCTTTCATGCAAATTGCATCTCGCAATCACCGTGGACCCGCAGACCACAGACAGTAAACGGGCACCTACAAATTGCCCACGCTCTGCAGTCCTCTCTTTCAAGATGTTTCCAGGCAATTATTGAGCGTTCACACACGCCTATGACATATCACCTTGCGTGCCTCTAACCTCTTCGGATCTCACAAGCAAAGCTCGGTTAAGCCCGGTTAGTACGACAGGACTGTACTTGGATGGGTGGCGACCGGATCGTTTAGCCTGGGTGCTGCAACTTGGCTGAGAGAAGGCGGTGCAGAATATCACCCCCCCCCCCCATTCCCCTCTCTCTCGCTCTCTCCACCACGTCCACCCTATCCTTTGTGGGTTTTTTGATTTCATGAACGACGTCGGCCGAATACGTCCGCCCACCCCTTTCCCCAACGTAGTAAGAGAGCCCTACTCCTCTTCAAATAACAATAAGTAATATTAAAAAAAAAAATTCAAAACACGCTTTAATGAAATGTACCCTACGAATAATGGCAGAACTCCACGACTCCAGGAAGTGGCCCCGAAGCTTGCCATAACGTAAGGGGCCCCGTGGTGATTTAAAGCCAATCTCAGCTGAGCGTGGACAATTAGAGCCAAGCCGAAACACAACATATAAAAAATAATGTAAAAAAATATATTTTTTCATGTGTTATGATAGAATATAGTATTGTCATCAGTATGACATAAGTATACCAAGTTTGCAGTCGATACCACATTGGGAAGTGGGATTTGAGGATACAACAACAACAACAGACAGAGTGAGTCAAATGGAAGCGTGCAAAAAAGCCAACGACGAGACTCGGCAAAACAAAAACAAAAAACTCGAGCGCGGTTCTTCGTTCCACGATCACTCGGCGTGGATCGATCGCGCGTCGCCACTCCGCCGCCGGTTTAAACGCCGCTGATCGAGTTTGAGGCCCTCGAACGTGTCCGCCGGCCCGGGGCTTTAGTTCTACAATATCGTCAATGTTCCCCCCCACCTCCCTCTTTCCCCCTCTTACTTTTATCGTCGTCGTTCCTTGTTCGTGGACAGCGCGTCCGGCTACTCGCCCGCTTTCTCTCCGTCCCCCCCTCCACGTGCTTTGTTGCGCGCGGGGGGGGCGAGGTGCCCTCGGAACCGGCCGCGAAAGTCACCGCGAGCTCCTTGGCACCCGTGAAACTTTCCCCAGTTTCAAAGACGATGGATCTATTGCATTATTATCAGAGCGTGTTTGTTAGCATGTTTTGCTACTAGTATGTGCGGGCAATGTAGTCTTGATGCCTTGCCATAGGTGTTGTCTATTTGGTGTTTGAATATCTTAACACCTCCTGTTTTATTGTCAGAAAGGGTAAAGCCCATTCTTATTTTTTTTCATCATTATATACAGACCCACAGATGCAATTAGGCTCACTTGACCCATGGTCTTTGCATAGAAAATCACAGACTTACGCAGAGACTCATAGGGCCATAGCCTCACTCAGACTCACACGAATCGTAGACTCACACCTTCTCATTCTAGATTTGAAGCTTTCGTGACTGCAATGATTCATATTCTTAGGTTTTTTTCGGTAAAGTCACGTAGGTAAAAAATTATTTTATTTTTATTTTGCTTTTATTAATTTTTTTTACCTACGTGACTTTACCGAAAAAACCTAAGAATATCACAACTTCTCAGCCAAAAGTCATTTATTGCACGGGGGTCAGTGGCTCAGATGCTCTTCCCCGGTAGCTTCTATTCTGCACCTGTCCCCCAGTCACATCCACCGTCTCCGTATCTCGCTCCACTTCATCCTCCCGTCTCACCATCGCTCTCTCCCGACTCCCTTCCGACCCGCACCGGTGGCATCTCCTTCGCCCTTCTCATCCGTGGGTCTCTATGCGAGTCAATGGGTCTCAGTGTGAGTCTATGGGTCGCTATGTGAGTCTATGGGTCCCAGTGTGAGTATATGGGTATCTGTGAATACATGGGTCTTAGTGTGAGTCTATGGGTCTCAGTGTGAGTCTATGGGTTGCTATGTGAGTCTATGAGTCGCTATGTGAGTAAATGGGTCTCTGTGTGAGTATATGGGTCTCTGTGAGTATATGGGTCTCGGTGTGAGTCTATGGGTCGCTATCTGAATCTATGGGTCTCTGTGTGAGTCTATGGGTCTCAATGTGAGTATATGGGTCGCTATGTGAGTATATGAGTCTCAGTGTGAGTCTATGGGTTGCTATATGAGTCTATGAGTCGCTATGTGAGTAAATGGGTCTCTGTGTGAGTATATGGGTCTCTGTGAGTATATGGGTCTCGGTGTGAGTCTATGGGTCGCTATCTGAATCTATGGGTCTCTGTGTGAGTCTATGGGTCTCAATGTGAGTCTATGGGTCGCTATGTGAGTATATGGGTCTCAGTGTGAGTCTATGGGTCTCTATGTGAGTATATGGCTCTTAGTGTGAGTCTTATGGGC